ATATCTATGCCAGAGCAAAATTACCATAGGAACGTTTACTTTAAAAAATCAGGAAACATGGACTTTAATGTTTCATTTACTTTTCCCCAAGAGATATGACGGGAGATGGAAAACACCCATTTGCTGAAGCAGAAACCTTCCATAAACAATAATGAAAATAGCCTCTTGTATTTTAATAATATGTGATCCTTATAACTTTTGAAATAAAAAAATGCAACAAACTTTAAAAAACAATCTCAGTTTGTAACAGTTGAATTGTAGGTGTATGAACAGGTGATCTCTGATGACATACTTAAAGACTTCAGTGGAGAATAATGATACGTAAGCTATTGCAAACCTCTTCTTATTCATGTTATCTGTGCATTTGCCTTGCACACGTATAATATGAATATTAGATTTTTTTTCCTAAGCAGAAGACAAGTATCGTGATGACTGATTATCTCCAGTGAAAATATTCAAACAGGGTTTACAAAACTCATAGAAGGTAATACTGCAAGTATTTGATTCTAAGATGCACACTTCTTTATACTTTAATATCTCTGATATCAGAATGTGTCTTACAATTTTTCTTGATCTGAGTTGAAGTTGCTTTCTTCTAGGAGAAATTCTTTCTTACTTCTGCCAGACATGTGGGATCCTACTGACATGATACCTCTTTAAATTAAAGTCTCTGTCTGAAATTTGGGTCCATTCTGTTTGTGTGAATTCAGAAAGTAAGTCTTCATAAATACCACCTTGTAGTTCAAGGAGTATTTTTTAATCTCTTTCCAACCAGACATGATTATGATTGAAACAATTTTCCTTGCTATTATCATCTGAATAAGAGTTTATTTCTCCTTTAGACTAGTCTTGAGTCATTTGGTGTCCCAGTTTGATGCTGGGATCATCTGGCAGACTGACCATCTTCAGCAGTTTTTTTTTTTCTTAAAAGTACATAAAAGAATGGTATATTTTATATTATATCATCTGAGATTTGATGAAATTTGATAATTTATTAAAGGTAGGGATTATTTTTAAGGCTGACATCATGCTCATCTATCAAATCTTGAAGCTCCTCTTGGGGCTAAATGCTCAGATTCATCACTGGAGGAGGCTAAGGCACAGATTATAATAGCACTGCTCCAAAATACTAACTTTACAGTTCTGCAGATCATAAAGATGGCACTGCCAAAGACATTTTATGAAATTCTGGAATGATTCTGATGCCAACCAAGATATAATTGAGATGGACAGTTTAGGAGATAATTAAGAAGATTGAATTCTGTGGACATATTACTTTGAGGTGTCAGAAAGGTAATGCATGCATGCAAAAATATTAGAAAGTGAAATTCAGTCATACCATTAGACTAGAAGATAGGACATAAAGTATTTCAAAGATTCAGAAATCTAACATGATGGTATGGTTAAAAAAATTAGTACTGATGGTGTAATTTTTTTTTTCCTTTCTGGACATGTAATCATAATATGGCCCATTCTTAGAAAGAAAATGGGAAGTAGTTTATAGGTAAATTGCCTTGATCAGTCATTTTCTTGAGTACAAGGTCAGGTGAGCTCCAATTTTGTACACAACAATTATTTTAGGGAGGAGAACAGATTGGAAACAACCTGAGATTTCTCTGTAGCATCCTGTTTGAGGTGTGAGTGGGAAGACAAGAGTTGCCAGCACACGTATATTAAGATTTGATACTAAAATCTACCCTAGGTGACCAGCCACCAGCAACAGAGGAGAGTATCCTGGGATCAGGAGGAGGTGTAGCTGGATTTTTCTTTCACCTGGCCTAGTTCACCACTTGGGCCACTTTACATATAAGGGAGCAGAGTGCCAAGTGAGTGTTAAATGTTTCATCTAAAGTGAAATTTCTTCCACCTTACTTCTGAGTTATTTTGTATACAGTCTCTCTATTAAAACCTCTGGATGTGTAAACTATAGAGTGTTACAGAATGTGTTTACCATTACAGCTGGAACTGATCATCCTGAAGTATGTAATTTGGCTCCATGTTGTTTACCAGCTTTCTGTGAAAATATCTCATATTTTTACATGTTTCCACATGAGCACATATATTTTATTCGATGAGATAATTGATATTAGCAAGGCAACATACATGATTTAATAAGGCTGGGTTCCAGATTTTTGCTCATTTTACTTTCAAATACTGACGTCAACTATTCCAAAATAATCACTGATTCCTAACGGTAAGGCTCAGCCTGGCCAAATGGGAATGCCTGCCTTAGTTTCCAAATATTTGAAATTTAGTGTAATCTATGGTGTATATGGTTTATGTGTGGTCAGTTATCAAAACAAGCAGACAAGGGAAAAAGAGGCATTCAAAAAAGGAATGTTTTATGGCTGCAGGGCTTGTTGGGCTAGTTTACCCTTTCCTCCCAGATATCACAAACATCTAGAGTTGTTTACCACAACCCTCCCCCAAAAGACCCTGTAACATTAAACAGTAGCACTTTCTTTTCTCTCTCCAGTATGCATTCTGACATAAGAATCAGGAGAGAAATTTATTTACACTCACTTTACTTCTTTCTTCTTGTAGCTAAGCCATTCTCTATGCCAAATTTTAATAGTCTTTAACCACTCTAATTTTATCAAAACACATCTTTAATATCTGAAACACTCTCCAAACCCCAGTCATTCAACAGTCAAAAATATTTATGTATCCACAGTCTTATTTTTCATAAAAATTCCTTTGGTCCATTTTTCCCTGTATATATTTACACTCATAACTCTAGCATTAATATAATTTTGAAATACAAGCTGAATCTATAAAGGGATCCCTAAACAAATGAATGTGCCATTAAGATTATATATGCATATAATCTCTAACAATTTTCAAAACAGCATAATGTCCTACACATGATGGCATATAATCAATATTCATTAGCTAATTGATAAGTTCATAATGATGCTTCCTAAGAGAGATTTTGTTTTTGAATATAATGGTGTTAATAATAACATTATATTAACCTTACATGTTAATGAATGACATAAGGTATTTTTTACAAAAATCAATAAGTGCAATTAGTTCAAATCTCTACTGAAAAACAAAAGTACCAATACAAGTATCTAGATTATAACTTGAAATTTTTGGATCATTCATTCAACAAATATTTGTTATCTACAATACTCATAATGTTGTATCGATATAAACCTAGAAATATACAATGAGCAAAATAATGTTTCATTTTGACATGGAGATTAATGTCTGATTGATTCAGTTACATTCTCTTGATTCTTTTACTTCCAGTAGTTATCATTAACTCTCCACATAAAGGCAAATAGATTATTTAGTGTAATGAATTAATATTTCAAAATAGTACATTGCTGGAATGGTGCTGATCATAATTCAATATTTTCCCATGAAATAGATTAATGAAAGACTAGCAAATATTTTATGATCTGATTTAAATATGCCATTTGAAAAAAATTAAGGAAAGCGTTCAATAAATGCGCCATACTAATGCAGGGACAGTCATAACATTTACTCCAGTTTTGTGGTATCTTTCTTATGTATAGTGAAGATAATCACAGATAGGAAAGTCCCTGGTGAGAAAATTTGCAAGCAAAGTGGTTCCGAAACACTGGCTTCATTCGTGGTTACCTGTCTCCTGGTATTAGGATTCCCCAAACAATCCTGTGAGCATTCAAAAATCAAATACCAACCCATCCAGCTTATGCCACAGGGGATCTGAATTTTAGAAAGTAAGTTTTGGAATGTATGCTCGGGTGCTATGTATGGTAATATTTTCTTAAAATTCATAAACAGGAATATTCCACACATAGAATTAGTAAATCAAAGAAAAGTTAATTGATAAATATTAACTACTTTTAGAATAAATGGCATCAAAAAATTAATAGAATAATTATGTTAAGTGACAATGTTTACATTGTACATTTCAGCCATTTTTAACTATGTTCATTAGCAGTATTGTTATTGATAAGTTTCCCCAGCAGAGGGAAGCATAACCTCATTATTATTTCCATAATAATATGGCATAATGTTTGAATTATGGAAAGTGGGGCATCATTACAATTTTACTCCATTTTAAGTGAAGGTTGGTTGATGTTTCTGCATTTACTAAGCAACTTCGACATTAAATATGCTTTGACATCTTTTAGGAAGCAAAAAATGAATTTGGTATAAAAGGCCCAGTGTAAGGGAGTACCCAACTAGTAATTCAGTGTAAGCATACCCACATTATCTTCTGCTTGACTAGAATGCCCAATAATGATATATTAGATTTATATCATGAGCATAGAAAAGAATCATTTTTAAGGCATATTTTAAGACTATAGTTTTTTTCTTTGGTATATTTTAATGAAAATTTCCATTGCCTACTCATCTCAGGTTGCTACTATATGCAAAATGAAGTACTTGCACATGGCTTCTTGTTGTTAATATAAGAAAGTTGAGCTTTAAACCTTGTAAGCATCTAAAATTTTGAATTTATCATCATAATAAAACAAAATTCATGATAATAAAACGTAATTCAGTGTTTTGTGTTCTTTTTTTTTTTTTTTTTTTTTTTTTTTTTTGAGACGGAGTCTTGCTCTATCGCCCGGGCTGGAGTGCAATGGCCGGATCTCAGCTCACTGCAACCTCTGCCTCCCGGGTTTACGCCATTCTCCTGCCTCAGCCTCCTAAGTGACTGGGACTACAGGCGCCCGCCACCACGCCCGGCTAATTTTTTGTATTTTTTAGTAGAGACAGGGTTTCACCGTGTTAGCCAGGTTGGTTTCGATTTCCTGACCTCGTGATCCGCCCGTCTCGGCCTCCCAAGGTGCTGGGATTACAGGCTTGAGCCACCGCGCCCGGCCAATGTTTTGTGTTCTTTAGCATTTACTTTCTGTAAGATTTTATTTCTCTTCGGCTGCATTTCTTTAAGTATTCCGGGAGAGATGCATACATTGCATGCATGTGCGTGAATATGCATTATTACTTAGGATTTTAGCCTGGTCTTAGCAGGTTGAAAAATGAAAAATGTGACTTACCGTGGTGTTGTAAGTCGGAACAGTGAGTCAGTGGGTCTCCATTTCTTATATCTTGTCGTCTTGTGCGTCTGAAACAATTGCATTTAAAAGGTCTTATTGTATCCTTATTTTTCCATTTTAGGAATTTGTCATAAGAATGAAGAAAAATTTAAAAAATATAGATATCATAGACTCTAGGAACTTACAGGAAGAGATGAATCTACATCCAACCAAAAGACTTTTTTTTTAAAACAGTTCATTATACCTGTAAGAGCAGTCTCCAAGATAATCAAAATGGGAAACAAGATCCAAATGTACTAACAACATATTAAAAGTCTTTAAAATAGTGATAACAGAGAATTCATGGCTTTTTCATGACCAGATGTCAATCAATAACAATCTAATGTCTAGAAACTCAAGGCTTAAATTCTGTGGAAAAAGCACAACATTTGAAATAATAATCAATTTTTTTCAATAAAAGAAATTAAACTTTTTCTGATTATTAATGAAGAAATAAGCTTGAAAATTATAATTCACATGAATATTCTCTTTCTCTGAATGCTTATACATAATTCCTTAAATAGACTTTTGTTGAATTTTATAATATTAAGACTAGAAATTATATTTTTAAGCTAGTTTTAAAATTTCTTTTCTTGGTTGTTATATCGACCTGTTCTTTTTTAAAACCGTTTCTTTTATGATCATACAGCTATGATTGCAAACCAATTTAACTGTGAAGTGAATAAAAGCAACAGTAAATGTTGAACTTAAAGGCAAGGCCTCCTCTTGCCAGAGGAATGAAAGAGAGAATAAATGAACTTACATTTAAGAGAAAAGCAAAGTTTGCTTATAAAAAACAATTTCTTCTACATTCTACCCTCAGATCACATGTGAGCTGCAGCACATCGTGAGTTTCCTTTCTCTATGTTTTGCTAATGGTTGCCTGGGAAGGAGGAGGTAGGCTCTAGTCATTGTGGTGCAAAAAAGATGTGAAGTTCCAGGAAGAGGCTAAAAATGGAGACTGGCTATGTGTAACAGACTGGAAAAGATTGGGGGACACTTGCCCAACTGTTTGCTGCTGCTATTTTAATGGGTATTGTTTTGCTGCAAAATTAGTTACCATCCCTAAAAAGAGCTCTCACAAAGTCCATTGAGAATTGCAAATATGGAATTTGTTACTGTATTCATAAATTTAGAAGTCTAAAGTATTTATAGATTTCTATTTGTAGAATTAGTGAAACAATCAAACAGATGTTGCACATTTCAAAATTGAGCCAACAAGAGAACTTGTGAAACACAAACCACAAAGCATTTGGGAAGGCATTTTTCACTGCCATTTAAGCTTTTGAAAAATGCCATCACAAAGAATATACAAATCATGAGGCTTCTAAACATCCTTTTTAAAGACAGAGTGTCACTCATGAAATTGGATTAAGTAAAATCTGTAAGGCATAACAAAAATGTGCTAATGAAAATTCCTTCAATCTTGAATTGTAGGTATACAATAAATACTTTTTAAATATGTAATAACATATAGGTTTTAACTTATTATAGATGTGTTTATGATTTTCTTTTTATCTCTTTCCTTATTAAGAAAAGCTTAAAATTCAAATAGATTATTACTAAATTATATAGTATTATAAACTTTCTCATGAAGAAGAAATAATACTCATTTTAGTTCAAACACGGATTCCACTTTTTTTTTTTTTTTCGAAACAGTCTTGCTCTGTCGCCCAGGCTGGAGTGTGCAGTGATGCAATCTCAGTTCACTCCAACCTCTGCCTCCAAGTTCAAGCAATTATTCTGCCTCAGCCTCCCAAATAGCTGGGATTACAGGCACCCGCCACCACATATGGCTAATTTTTGTATTTTTAGTAGAGACAGGGTTTCACCATGCTGGCCAGGTTGGTCTCAAACTCCTGACATTGTGACCCGCCTGCCTCGGCCTCCCAAAGTGCTGGGATTACAGGTGTGAGCCACGACGTCAGACTGAATTCCACATTTTTAAGTAAAATAAAAGCCACCTAGAGTAAAACGTTTTTGAGAAGCATTAACTTTTAATCTTAAAAAATTTAATTTCACTGCTGTAAAGACTGCATATCACTACTCCTTAAATTACCTACAGTTTCTTTAATCAACAGACATTATCTCCACAGTAAGTTTTATTTTAAATTTGAAATTTCAACAAAATGAATGTTTATATAAAAGTAATACAAACATGTTACCTCAATTCTGAATGTTGAAGGTTTAATAATTGTATTTCTTATATGATATAATACTGCCTATAGATTTAATATTATTAACAGGATACTGTGTTTTAATCCATTGGACTGATTATGTAACAGACTAAATTGTAGATTTTTCTACACTCAGTCAATGTTATCTAAAGTGTGTAATCAGAAGATTTAAGTAGGCATTAGGGCCATTTCTTTGGTTAAATATTTTACCAAATATTCAAGCTGATACAAATGTTGTAGGACATACTTCATTAGCTATGAAAATCTACATTCATGACTTCTTTGAATAAAATAGCTATAATAAACAATAAATAAATCAAATTATATTGCTTCTAAATGCAGAGGTTTCATAAAGCTGGTTTTCATTTTATGTTTTAATAGGTTGATATACATGCTGTTAATCTTTGGGCTCATATTAACGAGATACTGTATGTTAATTTCGTCCACCATTCTCATTTCCTAAACCCTGCTAAGTAATGATAGAGAAAGACATCCTTCAGTGAGTAGTAAAGGATACGCTGTTGAAAGGGCTATTTTGTCAAATGAAGGCAAATGAAGGAAGAGTTATCTTAGCAACTTTTATTCAATCACGTCCAAAAAATACTTTTAAGTATTATCAAGAGTATATTTAAGAGATATATATGTATATATATATGCCGGGCACGGTTGCACACGACGTAATCCCTGTAATCCCTCCCAAAGGCTAAGGCGGGTGGATCACTAGGTCAGGAGATCGAGACCATCCTGGCCAATATGGTGAAACCCTGTTTCTACTAAAAATACAAAAATTAGCTGGGCGTGGTGGTGCATGCCTATAGTCCCAGCTACTTGGGAGGATGAGACAGAAGAATTGCTTGAACCTGGGAGGCAGAAGTTGCAGTGAGCCGAAATCGTGCCACTACACTCCAGCCTGGTAACAGAGCGAGACTCCATCTCAAAAAATAAAAATAAAAAAATAATAATATATATATGTATATGTGTGTATACATATATTATGTGTGTGTATATACATATATACATGCATACATATATACATATATATTGTATATGCACAGATATTTCACTACATGGTTTTATGTTTCAAGTTCAAACACTGCAAATGCAAGGTGATACTATAATAATATAATACTTAAATTTTCTTGAAACAAATAGACGTATTTGGGGATGTTAATCAAAATTACATATATCACATATTAAAATGTAATATTTTTTAAAGTAGAAATAAATTATTCTGGACTTTTTATAATTAGGCACCTGTGTATTACCTAAGACTATAAAGGAAAATAAATTCCTTTCTCTGATCATTTTCTGTTCATCCAGAGACATAAATTGCCTTATTAAAGTTTAAAAATGAGACAGAATGCTGCTGGATAGAAATAGAAGAACATGTTTGGAAAACAGAGTATGTTGGTCTAAAGGGACAAGGCTCAGTCTAGATTCCGTTCATGACTTTCTCTGTGACTTTTTTCCTGATTGTTTTAACTATTTGAAGAAAAGAGAAAAAAACAAAACAAGCCCCTCCCTCTGCCCTCACATCTTTTTATTCATTAGAAAAAGTTGATGCACTTATTTGAAGAAAGCTATTTCAAGCTTGGAATCAGATAGGATAACTAGCAAACATTTCATTTATTTTGAATATTGTTCCTACCTCTTTGCAGTGGGAAAATAGCGAGAGCATGAAGAACCATCCCAAGCACAGTAAGGGTCTCGGGCGAGGCAACACTCAGCACAGGCTTTCCCGTAAATATCACACCGGTGTAAAGGGAGCTGGGCAACCCCAGCTGTTGAACCAATATATAGTTGTTGCTGTGGAAAGAATTTACTGTTGTGACAAAAATTATCTTGTTTTTTAAATCTCTTTTTCTCTTAAAAAAGAGTTTATTTATATATAACTTCTCAGAGATAAATTAAGGGTTTAAAAAATCGTCCCTTTATTGATAATTTCTTTAAAGGCCTGCTAGACAAGATGGCAGTTTAAAAAGGAGCAAGAGCAAGTTCTAAATATTTGACTGAAACAGATGTCTTTTATTAAGTGTAAAACAAAGGGAAGATGAAGACAGTAATATACCAACCAATGTAATGTTCAAAGCTACAGTTTTGTCTTTGCAAGTTTGCTTTTTTTACCTTTACTGTTTATAATACTCATACACCAAAATGTCTTTATTACCATGTGTTCCATATTGGCCAGAGGCAGGAATCATTGCTGCTGACTTCTCAGTACCCTATTGTATTGCCTGTGATGAACCGTGCCCTTTCCTATGATATGGGAAGGGGCAAAAGTTTGGTGCTTACATTTGAAAAAACTTTGGGCTCAACCCCAAGAACTGTCTTGCCTTGCACTACCTCCAGGAAGATTACTTTTAAAAAGACTACTAAATAACTACCCTTCAAAAACATCTTTCAAAAGAGGAACTAAGTGCACTCTGGTGCAGTCTGCCAAACCAAAAGCTGAGGTGTTTTGGAAGAAGCATAGGATCGAGCATGAAGGTACCTGGATTCTAGATCTCGCTGCCCATTAACGCCCTGTATGATCTTGAGCTAATCATATAATTTTTCTAAGAATTAATTTCCTTATTAAAATGAACATGTTTAACAGGTCTTTAAAGTATGCATTCAGATAAACATTCTACAATACATTTATTCTCAATTAAATTGGTGGTATTGAAAGAACCAGAATATGGAAGATTTAAAAAATTGTTTTTCTACTAATTCAGGATTTCAGTACAAGTTTTAAAATGCCTTTAACAAAGTTGAGCCAATGTAGCATATTAGCTGCAAATTTATGTAAGCACAAAATGAAATAAAATTATTTTGCAATTTCTCCACATTGGTACCATAGCTCTCTTTTCTTGCACTAGAGGATTCAATCATTGTGGTAAGCCTTAAATAAAACTTAAATAAATACTAAAACATGTAATGGTATACATTGAAAAGAGATCAAAAGTGTATTTTAGTTTCTCTAAATAAGTTTAGTTTCTCTAAATAAAAAGTAAGTTTTAGAAAAGTCGGTCTCTGAACAATGATATGCTTTTTTAATACTACACATTTTCTAATAGTTAACAATGAACATAAATAAAATTACATTTCCAAAGACATTCATTTATAAACTGCATGTATAAGTAACCAGATAAATTGAATGCAGACTGAACTGAAGTACCTATGATAATCTAAGAAAATATTAAGGTTATAGGGAGTGTTTACATAGAAAATAATTCTCTGCTTAAATCTCACCAACTAACTTATACCTTATTACAAGCAAAGTAAATAAGGGGAAATGTAATACAATAAAATCTAAACCATTGTGGAAATATTTATCTTCATTAATATTATTATTCCATTTCACTACATGGAAAAATGAAATTACAGTGTATATTACTAAGTGCTCAATTTTTTGCTATATTCAACTTTTATTATAGTATTGAATTTTGCTATAAACCAGGACAAATTAGGAAATGATGGTTAAATTCTTTGGGCAAAATAGATTAAGTGTTGTTAAGCTTTCCTTCTCCCTTTCCTTCTTTCTTTCTTTCTTTCTTTCTTTCTTTCTTTCTTTCTTTCTTTCTTTCTTTCTTTCTTTCTTTCTCTCTCTCTCTCTTTCTCTCTCTCTCTCTCTCTTTCTTTCTTTCTTTCTTTCTTTCTTTCTTTCTTTCTTTCTTTCTTTCTTTCTTTCTTTCTTTCCTCTTTCTTTCACAGCCTCCTTTTTTAAGAATGAACTTACACACTAATGAAAGTAAGCACTTTCAATATATGGACATGTCAATCCGTACATTGTGTTTGCAACTGTTTAGGAAAGCTACTCATCAAGTTAGTCCTACAATCAAAGGATCTCTATGTTTGGCCGATAACTTCTAAGAAGCATGAACAAAATATATATTTATAGATTTTTTTAAGAATATGACATTTAAATAGGAAAAGTGTTATTACCTAAATAACAATATCTAATTATGTCACATTCCTTTAGGGAAAAACAGAGAAATAGTATGTGCAAAGAATAGAAAACGAAAATATGGCAACTGAAATTATTATAACAAAAACCTGAAGTATGATAAAATGCCAAAAGTAACTATAACTCAATGTCATGTTCATTTTACCATAATTTTGCAGTATTATTAATGAAGTGCAAAAATAATTATGCTATCCACATGAAATATAGGGTAAGCCTTTAGGCACCATTGAGCAGAAACCAGTCACTAGTAAGTAACCTGATGTGCTTTTTCTGCCCAATTTAACATCACCACAGGCTCTCTCACTATCCTCCTTAACAAAGTGTGGGGTATAGGAGGAGATGGGTTCATTTATCCAGAAAATTACTTGCAACACTACTTGTCTCTCTTGAAACTACTATCTCACTTTAAAAATGCCCATAAGCCCATAAGCGTGAATGAAATTGAGTCACATCTGAACGAAATCAAATCATTTCCTCCGGTAATGGAAAATAAAGGAAAAAGACACTTTCTTCTCTCACAGTATTTTAAATTGATAGATTGTTTTTCTTTGTCAGTAAAATGTTGGATTAATGTGTAATTTTTAAGTAGCTTTAAAAATGTAAAACAGAAATAAATGGTTTACAAAAATAGATGCAGATTTAATGTAATTAAGATTGGCAATGAGGCTTAGCAGAGAATAAATAAATAATTTTAAAAATCATTACAGGAAAGAATATATCAGTCTAGCTTCCATCCTGGAAATCCCCAGATTTATTTGCCAACCTCTAACAATTTTTAGATTACAAGAACAGGTGAACACATACTTATGCAGTGTTAGATAACAGTATCAGGTCAATCATATCTGTTCTCTGGGTTGCTCTAAATATCTTGGAGATTATCAATCTATTTTGATATGTCTGTGTGGGGAAAGGATGCACACTGAATTTTACTGGCAGAGTAATTTAATGTCTTGTTCAAGGGATAAAGAATGGTCAGAGATAAAACATGTAAATGGTTCAGAAATAAGATTTGCCAAATGATTCTCACTTTACAATTGTGTAAATAAGTTTTTACTCCAGTAAATGAGGCATACCCTACTTCATTCTGGCTTTTTCTATTTTTTGTTTTTGTTTTTGTTTTTGTTTTCTGCTTTTTTTTTTTTTTTTTTTTTTAAGTTACCATTGATATACTGACAGAAGAAAATCTAGGTAACATTTATGGAGAAAATATAATTTATTAGACATTAAAACTATATTTGTTTATACATATTACACAGTATTTAGAAGCAATTGACTTTTCTGAAGTGTCTTGCCAAAGCATTCATTCTATATGAATAGAAAGACTATTAACATGTTGTCCTTAATCTTTGAATTCATGAAGTTTTAGAACTTATTTGGCAGTGACCTTTTTTGTTTTCCTTTGATATTTAGGCAAAGTTAAATGCACAATTTGTTTTCTCTAGCATACATTACTACGGGAAAAGTAAAATTAACTTTGAAGTCAAGGTCCTCCAAACACATATAGCCAGTGAATAATTTTGCTAGCTTCTAAAAATGCATTTTTGTTTATATTTGCAAAGTAAGAATCAATTATAATTTTTTTATTCCTGAAATATCACAATGCTATTTCAGTGTATACACACACACACATATATATATAATCAGAAAAGATGAAAATTATTATTGACTATTGAGTAAATTATATTAAAATGACCAAAATACGCTGTAAGTAAAAATTTATAACAAATAATGATCTGGAAAATATGTTTATAGAACACAGATGAGATTGATCAAAAACATGAGGACAATGAAAACTATCTTCAGTTTCTAATCTACTAGCTTATTGTAAGAATGATATTTGTTTTCTCCTGTATTTTTGTACAATTGTTAACAAATCTGTGAAATTTGATAAATAAATAGATGTATCTATTTGAAACACAAGAATTAACAAAATATTGGATATCAATGGTAATACATAATGATAGTACCTGCTTGGTGGAAAGCTCCATTGCTGAAATAGTAGTCGGTTCCTAAAGGAGAAAAAGAAATATGTGAGGTGTTTGGTCAATTAGAACAGTCAGCTATTAGTTAATTAACTGAAGGCACTTCTATTAGTTTTCAGAGAGAGAGAACTTCAGTGTCCACAAGAAGCAATGTGATTGGGAAATAAGACACATGAAAGAAACTACATAGATAAGGGTCAAATATGTGGAGCAGGCAATAAGATTGTGTCAATGTCATACAGTCTACATACCTGTAGTTGACCAAGTTGGGGTTATTGTTTGCTAAAATATAAGGGAAAACATGAGCCTGCGCAGTGAGCGCAGTGAGCACAGTGAGAAGGTGTTGGAAAAAACATGTTTTGGACTTGTGTTAGGTGATTGAGGGAGGGTTCAAAGAAGTAGAGCTTTGTTCTACCTTGGATGTTGTCAAAAAGCAGGGGTAATTCTATGGTTAAGTGTCTTCATACATCATTTGGAAGGGAAGAACAAAGTAAGGCTAAAGCTGTGACTGGTGAAGAAGTAGCAATAACTCGTGATAGGCAGGATAGGGTGTATATGGTCATTTTTGTGGTTTGGACAATGTTCTTGTTTTTGTCTGTGGACATGATTACAAAATGGTTTTGCTTTTATCTTGATTCATCATGGTCTCAGAGTGGTCCTTTCTGATGTTGGTATTCTGTGAAAATTGTTCTGTTCAACTGGAGAATGCTGCCTTAGCTGAGAGTGCCAGCCTCATTCCTAACAACACCAGTAACAGCTGATGAGAGTATGTCACTTTCCAGTTGACAAGGACTACAAGAGCTCAGGTGGGATGAGATTACTTCATTATTATGAAAAATACGGTTTCGTGTGCAAGGACTTACACCCAGGTCTTTGCCAGAGAATATAATCTCTTTAATGTCTATCAACAGGTTAACATAGAGGAGTAATAACTAGAAAAGTAACACTCACCAATGCACTTCATTAATTGTTCTATCTGGAGCTTATCATGAATGTGTATAGGCTTGCATAAATAAATTGTGTTCTTTGATATAGGCAGACACCAAACCCTATATAACTGAACACATGAGTTTACATCCTTTAGGTTCACTGTCAACGAACTGTGCTGCAGGCTGTATCTTTCGTTCAAGACAAACATGATGAGAAGACAGAGACTGCTTGTGGGTTTCTGAGAGGTCTGATAAGAAAGAGGCTTAGGTGGAACGAAGGATCTTAAAAGACCTCACTGTGTAGGTGACTGAAGCTACTAAATTAAGTGTGAAGAGTTGGACTCTGGAGCCAAACTGCCAGATCTCAAATTGTGATTCAAATCTGGCCAGAAATGCAGTATTAGGCAAAGTGTGTAAACTTTTTGTAATTCAGTTTTCTCATTTGAAAGTTAGATGGTGCCTCTTACAGGGTTGGTGAGAAGACTGAATGAGTTAATACATGTAAAACAAATTACAAATGTGCTTGGCATATAGTGTTTATTCAGATCTCTCCTCCCTCTCTTCCTCTCTCGTCTCTCTTTCACATACAGCCACACCCACATGCACACACACACATTTCCATCTCATTTCCTTGCTTTAGTTTTTCTTTTTAGTGCTTATTACCAGTTATATATATACACACACACACACACACACACACACACATTATCTAACACACATTATCTAATAATATATTATTAATATGCCTTAATAATCAATAAATTTTATATAGATACATATAATTCATTTTTTTGTCTTGTAAGTTTCTTCACACTTCCCAAAGCAGAATCTGAGATAAAATCTTGTTTGCAGGTTTGGGGCAAGAGTAAAGAATTGAGGATTGAGAAGGTGGAAAAAATCAATTAAAAAGTGTATTATGGAAGTCAATACTAAGAAAAAAAATCTAAGGATAGTTGACAATGACTCTCCAAATTGTCCACTGAGGTTTGTACCAAGAAAAGTACTTATTCATTCCATTCCACATTCCATGCTCTCAGGGGGTTAAGTCTCCCACAGCCCCAGCTGTGACTCTAGCTTGTTTTTTGGCCTGCCAGGGCATAAAGAAAAGATTCCTCATAGGAATCAGAAGTGAGGTGAAAGGATGTGAGGAGGCAGCTGAGGCATCTCACGTGTCTTTCCAATTGCCTGTCCCCCTCAATTTGGGACAGAGATTTTGGCTGTTTATTTCACAGCCATATCCCTAGTACCTGGAATTATGCCTGGTATTTACAAGTTCTTAATACATATTTGCATGAATGAATAAATGAATGAACAAATTTTTTACCAATGTTCCTCTTTCTCTCCTCTCTTCAACTTACCCCCACTATACTCTCTTTCTTCCACTTAATTTATATTTAAGATAAAGATAGCCGTTCTATTAAGTCTTTCTTTGTTTCTTATAGCTTAGCTGGAATTTCTTCAAAAATAATTTAGAATAGTCTACACTCACTGCTTTTGCTTGTTCATCTCTCATCCAATGCCTTCCCTGCTCAACCCACTGAGTCTAACTTTTATTCTAGAGAGGTGGCCTACTATCTTCAGAAGCAGAAATCACCAATGAACTGGGTATTGCTGATAGGACACTTTTCTGTATCCATAACTATTATTAGACTTTGTTTTATATGTTACTATTGACGACTTATTCTTTCTTGACTGCTTCCTCTAATAAATTCCATTATGCCTTGTTATTATTTTCTTTATTATTATTCTTGTTCATTGGTCTAGATGTCCTGAACTCTTTATTAATTATTCCTTTATTCTTTATTAATTATTCCTTAATGACCTTTAACACAGTCTTCTTCTCATCCTCCAGCCACTCCTAACATATTTACTGTTCCTTGACTACTCCTTTCTACTCTCCTTTGGATGCCGTTTTTCTTCCCTAGTAAGCTCTTGTGTTTTTGTTTGTTTGTTTGTTTGTTTGTTTGTTTGAGACGGAGTCTCGCTCTGTCGCCCAGGCTGGAGTGCAGTGGTGCGATCTCGGCTCACAGAAAGCTCCGCCCCACCGGTTCACGCCATTCTCCTGCCTGAGCCTTCCAAGTAACTGGGACTTACAGGCACCCACCACCAAGCGCTGCTAAATTTTTTTTGTATTTTTAGTAGAGATGGGGTTTCAGCTTGTGTTAGCCAGGATGGTCTCGATCTCCTGACCTCGTGATCCACCCACCTCAGCCTCCCAACTCTTGTGTTTTTAATTACTCCCTATGTGCTATAGAACTGCAAATCTCTACTTCAAACCTGATGGATGAGCTGAGAACAGAATTTTCTTAACAAATTTAAGACAATCTGCCTGAGACACAAATGAAAGAAATGATTTAGGAGGTACATTAACGTAATGGTATAATTTAGAGATTTTCCATAGTTTCCCATTTTTATAGCTTAAATGATTTATATTAATTATTAAATATAATAATTTTACACAAAAATCATCAATAATAAAGACAACTATGAAGAAAGGAATGTCTATCAACTTTTTCTATGCAGAGATATAATCTTTAGAATTTAGTAGCCTCAACTCAAAAACTAAGGGCACAACGTATCATGGATATTCAGCCTTAAAAAAAAAAGTTGAAGACTGTATTTAGGTTTGTATAATATTAGAATCAATAACCAAAACAGAAAATTTAGAAGAGTAAGGAAAATTTTCCACAGATACTTCTTTCATTCCAACAATTTCACAGGAAAAATAGTCATGCGGTTATTAAGGAGCTTATTTCATGAAGACTTTTATGACGTAAAGTTTACAATCAAATTTCAAAGAAAGTGTTTCTTAGGCAGAGAAGTATTAACAGCTAATGTAATTGAAGTGAAATTAGCTAGCTCTAAGTACTTTCAAAAATGAAGGCGATTAATATGTATACATTTCATGTTCCTTAATAATACAAAAAACAAATATCTATAAGGTAGATAAAAAAATATTTCGTTTATGAATGGTAAAACATAAAAGAAACCCTAGTACGTTGTGTCATATTAAGATTTTAACGTTCTTAAGATTCTAGAATCCATTAATTAAAGGAACCTTATTTATTATTTAGACCAGGAAATTAATAACAGTTTGGAATAAGATGAACTATATGCTGTCTGTGGTTGAATTTTAATAGACAATATATTAAGATGACATTCATTTAAATAAGCTATGGGGATTTTTTTCTGAGAAATAGCGGGTAGTGAATATGACTTCCATTTAAAACAGATGTAGCTTCATAAGCATGTTTTCATGAAACTGGTTTCAGTTGCATTTAATTGGTGTTCAAGTAAAAATAAAATTAAAACTTAGCATCTTTTCAAGGCTTTCTATGACTCCAATTTACAATTTTTTTCAGATATGTTAATCTAGTCCTTATTAAACTTTCTCACTTGCAAAGCTTTTCAACCTGCTGATCCCAGGAGATTCTGACACAGCCTGTTGGATGCTAAACACAAGGGCACTTTTTTAGAATGAGTTAATAGACTAGGTTAGGAAAGTATCAATTATGTTTTCATTTGAACAAAAATTAAACTCTTTCATTTGTCTGCTCAGCTGTTCATGGAGTATTTCACAAATTGGGTTTAAAATGTGTTATCAGTGTAACTGCCTTGCAATTCCATGCATTCAGTAGAACTATAAATAAAGCCCACTGTCCTAAGAGCATTGCAACTTGATATAAACTTTCAGTTTCAAAACTAAACCCTCTTTGATTGTACTGGAAAGAAAATCCCAAACTGACTAGTTAAATAGAAATCAGCATAAATTAGGCTTTTGTATCTTCTGAGTATTTTTCTAAAACAAGGTATATGTATGGAATTTTCAAGCATTTTAAAAGAGATTTTCATTTGTATAACTAGTTAACAATAGCTACCATTTACTAGTAATCTTTTTTTTTTTTTTTTTTTTTTTTTTTTTGAGACGGAGTTTCACTCTGTCGCCCAGGCTGGAGTGCAGTGGTGTGATCTCAGCTCACTGAAACCTCCACCTCCCAGGTTCAAGCGATTCTCCTGCCTCAGCCTCCTGAGTAGCTGGGACTACAGGCATGCGCCACCATGCTCAGCTAATTTTTGTATTTGTAGTAGAGACGGGGT